CTGGCACGTAAGTTATTTTAGGCTTTTTAGGAACCACATGAAAAAGGTATACGGACTTGGATTTGCAGCCTTCAGAACTGTGAGGAATAAATTCCTGTTGCTTAATCCCAAAAACAAATAAAATAAAATAAAANCCAAAATCAGATTTTCATCCAGCACACACACACACGTCTTCCAGTAAACTGACCTGCCAAGAAAATACACGTCATCAGTTTTTATCCCACTTCACCAAGCCTGAATATTTAAAACTGCTGACACCATGAAATACTTTCCAAAATCTAAAGTCTTCCTTCCACCCAGAATATGATGCGGAAGGTGCTCTGGGGATTATGCGCCATAAGGACCTTGTTTCTCTCCACCCCTTGTCCTTCCAAGTCTACAAGCACCGCTAGAGGCAAGGGCTGGTCACCTCCCACACAAAGCCGTCAGTGCCACTTCCTTACCATGTCACTCCAGGCTGCCCGCTGTACGCCACTACCTGTGGCCTTCCTCAGAAACCCGCTAATAACAAAGCCATAATAATCCTGAACTCTGACATTCAAAGCCCCCCTGCAAACCAACACCAACCTGCATATTCCTACTTGATCTTCCTTACCTTCCCTCTACCATGTATTTCCCCAGAGTGGCCCCACTTGTGAGCTCCCCATGTCCCCAAGCAATTTCATGCTTCCTGCCTTTGGTCACGTTTCACCAGCTGAAGGCAGCCCTTACTTCCCCACGGGGTCAAATCCGCTGAGGGCCCCCCCCTGAAAATGCTCCTTCCTGTTGTTCCGTGGCACTTACTGACATCTACCTCACTAGATTCTAAGCCTCTCAACACCAGGGACCACGCTTTTTTTTACATACTGCAGTGGATTGAATGCCCCCGCCCCCCAAAGTCATTGACTGTAACTGCTTAGGGTAGGAAATCCTATTATGGTAATTAAAAGGTGGGGCCTTGAGGAGGTGATTAGATTCTGAGGACCATGCCCTAGTAAATGGATTAATTATGGTGGTCAGTGGTGTGGTTCTGAGAGCTTTAAAATGAGAGCATGTGAGAGTCTCTCTCTCTGCTCCCCCATTCTGCCATGTTAGACCTCTTTGTCACTGTCACCACCAACAGGGCTTTCACCAGATATGTTCCCTGAACTTTGGACTTCCCAGCCTTCAAAACTGTAAGCAATAAATAGTGTTTCTTTACAGATTACCCACTTTTGGGTATTTTGTTATAAGCAAGAGAAACAGACTAATACACACATACCCTCTGAGTCATATAATACTTTCACCACTGCAGGTACTTAAATGTGCTGAAGGTGTCACTTCTCAATGTGTGTTGGCAACAAAACAAGCAAAGACAAGAGAAGGAAGAACGCTGCATCATGAAGGAGCAGGCTAAATTACAGCCAAGAACATAAACATTAAAAGTTCCAGTTACTGTGTTTAAATCAACATGAGGATTCTCCCCAGAGTGGAACCTGTCTCAGCCTTTATCCAAGAAGGGAAGATGTGCAGGAGATGTAAAAGGCATCTGCGTGCCATGATTCCCATAAAGGCGTC